TTTCTTCAAGCCTCTGGGAGGCTGAAAAAGGCCTCAAATGGGCCGAAAATCAGCTGGGAGGTACAGTGCAGGTAAGGGGATGGTGGTGGAAAATCGCACAGGCATGCGCAGGGGCCATGGGGGGACTGCACGCATTGCCTTCTGTATACTGGCACACGAACATCTGAGCGCAAGCAATTTTTGCCACAGGAGCCCAAAAAGGTTAGCTACCACTGCCTTATATGAACATTTTACTAACAGAAGAAAGAAGCAAGAATGTACAGATTTGAAGATTAAGAAAGACATGGATCAAATGAGGGGATGAAGGGACTTGTATAACATTTAAGAGGGAGGAGGGACAATAACATTATACAGGCAGTCCTCAATTTACGACCACAATTGAGCCCAAATTTTTTGTTGCTAAATGAGACTTCCATTAAGTCAAACCTGCTCCATTTTATGACCTTTCCTGCCACAGTTCTTAAATGACTCACTGCAGTTATTAAATTAGTGACATGGTGGTTCAGTGAATCTGGCTTCCGCATTGACTGTGCTTGTCAAAAGGTCACAAAAGGGTGGGACCTCGGGACACCATCATAAATATGAGTCAGTTGCCAAGCATCTGAATTTTGATCACATGACCATTGGGGTGTTGCAACAGTCGTACGTGTGAAAAATGGTCATAACCAGAGGTTGTATTCAGCAGGTTCTGACCAGTTCTGAAGAGCTGGTAGTGGAAATTTTGAGTAGTTCAGAGAACCAGCAAATACCACCTCTGACTGGAGATTCTACAGTATCCTTCCCCTGCCACACCCACCAAGCCACACCCACAGAACCAGTAGTTTAAAAAAATGAATCCTTCCACTGGTCATAACTCACGTTTTTCAGTGACATTGTAACTTTCCACAGTCGCTAAACGAACCCTTGTAAGTTGAGAACTACTTGTAATCATCTGCTCTGCTTGGACCACTCTTACTGTGGTACCTGATTGGTGGATTTCCCCATTATTTTACCCCTTCCACTCCTTCCTTTTCTTTTTTTTTTTTGAAAGTTTTATTTGGGTTTTCACAAAAACAAAATACAAATATCTTTTTTGAAAATAGCATGGTCCCAGGTTATCACTTCTTCATACAGACACCAAACTCAATTTCATGCTCATTTTTATATTCTATTCCATATCTTATTACCGTTTTATATTTTCTACATAGTTTTTCCCCTCTTTTAATTTTCTCAGTTTTATTTTAATTATCTCATCTCAATCAAATCATTATATTTATGCTTTTGTCTGTCCTGTTTCAATTTCATATTATCTTTTCTTATTAAACAAGTTTTTCCCTGTAGTTACCAATTGGAGTATGACACCTTTATATCTTTTAATTTTATCCATTCAAACTCTTATTTAAGCTTCAGTGTATACCTTTAAGATTATAGCATTCAATATAATACATAACTTCCAATCGAATTCTGCTTGGTACATTCTTAAAATACACACTATATTCTTAAAAAGAAAAAATTATATATGTGTGTGTAAATAAAGCACACATTCCATTCCAATTCAATTCTATCATTAATATTCATTAAAATCTTAACATCTTTAATATTTCTTTTCAATTAAATATCATACTTCCTTGGGAACCCTTATAAACTTTCCATAGTTAATTCTTTTTTTTCCATATTTCTCACTTATATTTTTATAAATCATTACTAATAATTAAAAATGTTCCCATTTAATTCTCTCACTCATTTTAATTCATTTATTTATTACCAAACATTCAACTACATTGCAGTAAATATTTTATTCATCATTTTAATCATATTTTCTAAAAATATTTCTATTTATAATATAACAATGCTATCTTATGTACCTTTGCAGAATCTCTTTTGCAATTAAATTTTCTCCCATTATCTCTAAACAAGCTTATGGTTACAATCCTTATATCTTTTCCCTGTTTCTCCATTTCTTGTTTCTGTCTTTTACAACTTCTTTTCCTTGCCTTCTTCCCCCTCTTCTTCTCCCTCCCCTTTTTACCCGCCCCCCATCTCTCTACTTCTAACTCTCTCATCTGTAATCCCCTCTTCTGTTGCTTTCAAATATTATACTTATCTTTCAAATTATTATTCTTCTTTTTGGTTGTTTTTTCTAGTCTTAAACCTTTCACTCTCTTTCCCCCCTTTTCTTTTTCCCCCCACTTAAAATTATTTGATAATTAAAGATGGCTTCTTTTTTGTCCCAATCTTCTTGTTCTGCAAGCGTTTCTTGTTGTTTCTCATAGTTCCAGATCTCCATTTCTAAGAATTGAAATACAAAGCCAAAAGAACCTCTCCCTTCTTGTGCATCTTCTTTCCATTTTTTAAGTTCCATTTTCAGTTGTTCTAAGAGTGATACCATTTTAAAGACTTTTAAACAACCACCTGGTTAATTTTAGTCATCCAGATGCAAAAAACAAAAATCACCAAGTAATCCACATAATCCAAGGTTGTTTCTTTCTGCTTCTTTTTTCCACTTTCTCTTCCTGGGGTTCTATTATTTTGTTACCAAGTTTCAATTAAGATGTATCTTTGAGGAATCTTGTTGAAATTTCACTGTAAGTTCCTTTTAGTTACAGTTCCATTCCTTAGTTCCAGGCAGTCTCCTCCATTTATCCAGATCCTGCTCTTTTATTCTTTTTTTTTCTCCTTTCCTACTTTTAAAAACTTTTAAATATCCAGAAATCTTTATTATCCCTTTGACTTTTATTTTCAGCTTAGATGCCTATTAATGTCAAAGTGGATTTTTTTCAATTTCTTGCTTAAGTCTCTTAGCTGTCAGTATAAGGAAGGGAAGAAAAAAAACCCTAATCCTTTCCCTTCTCTCTCTCCTTTGCAGCTTCAAAATCTTCTTTGGGAACAATGTAATTAAATTTAAATTCCAGGGTACCTTATTTGTTGCTTTCGCTGTTTGACCTGGTCAACCAAAACTTTCTCTTCTTATCTTCCTCCTGCACATTCTTTTCTGGTCGAGTTCTTCTTTGTGGTGGCCATTTCTGACCACCGCTGCAACCGCCTTCGGGAAAGGGAGTAATGGCCAGCTGGGGAGGAGATATGCGGCTCTCTTCAACCCTGCAGGCAGTCTCCCCCTTCTTCACCACCTCTACGGGGTGGCTTAGCCCCGAAACCAGCCGGCTCGGGGCGCTCCAGCGGCGAGCAAGGATCGAAGCCTCGCAGAGACGAGGTTTCGGTCTGTCACCGAAGAAGCTCAAACCGGAAGCCCACTCCTTCCCTTTCTATATAGATGGAACTTAGTGCACACATTGTTTTCACTGTGTATTGCGTGTCCCCTCTTCAGAGATAAAGCCATCTTCTTGTTCCACCTCTTTTCAGTTTCTGATGCTTGCTCCGCCAATAAATAAGGGAGAAATTGCTACGGTAGGAGAGAAATGAATCCATCTACCACTTTACTGCAGAGTCAATCCCCAAAAACTGAGGCAGCAGAGGACATTCTCAATGTCTAACAATTTTGTCACGTATCCTGTCAGTTCATTGGTTGGGGCAGGGGGTGGAGTGAGGGTGGGGGGACAAAGAAGCTGAACATAAAAGCTGGCATGGCAGCAGCTGCTACGTAAAAGACTTTCAGGACATACTAATGGCAACCAAGGGAAGGAAATACTCTAAAGATGGCGAAAAGCCAGGTGGAAAAATAATTTCTACCTTTTGTAAGCACCCTAAACATTTCTTAAAACAGGCAAGGAATTATGGCAGGTTTTCAAAGGCTGCAACTCTGTGAAGACCAAGGCGGAAAAATCTTCCAAATACAGACAGTCCCAGGTTTTGGATGATTGATCATAGGAAGCCATAACACAGTTACAGCGAAGAGGGGGAGACGTGGAGTTATGGACAATTGTGATAGATTCTTGTGTCAGTAGTATTATAGATGTGTTGTTTCAAGGAAAGAAATGCTGCTACACAAATGGCAGGCTATTATTTGTGTTTCCAAGGGTTATCTGTGTTCTCACAGCAGATAATTCTTGGCTCAGGCTGCCTCCCATCTCCCAGCATCTCAACTGCAGCTAACATGCAGAATTATGAACATTTCAGGAGTTAAAGGTTGGGATTGGGTGGGAGGTGTCACCATGATGTGCTAAGAGACATAAGGAAATGCTAATACAGTAATGTATACTTTTTAACATATACTGTTTCTGCTCAACTTCCGGTCAGAAAAGGCAAGCTTTCGTGGCTTAATGGTTCTTTTTGAACTATAAACTCACAAAGATATAAATATGCTTCTTGCCTTTTTCTGTCTAACCTGAGCTTTCTTATTGCTATCACAAACTGAGTTTAAGCATAATCTAGGTGTGGTTTCTTAGCTCTCAGCACCATCTTGTGGTCTGCCTAGGACATTGCATGCATTTTCTTGAATTGCTTTTAAAATACAGGTATACAGGTATATATATGCTACACATAAACAATCTTTTTTTTAAAAAAAAATCGATTTTATTGATCTCTTATGAGATTAATTTACCTCTGAAAAGGTAGGGAGAGAAGAGGAAACCCTAGTTTCATGCATCTATGCTACAACGTAAGAAGATTGCATCATATGAGTTCTTTCTCTTTTTTTCCATTTTAACCTTTTTATTGCTACAAAAGGCAGCATAGGTAGTGAGAACTTTATGTCTCTCACATACTGGGATTAGGGGAAGAGTTCCAGTGGAGGTTCCACTGAAAGACAGGTAGTAACTCTGTCACTAATCCAAAGCTGGGCTACAGAACTTGATGTTCCAGAAAGTTTCGGGGAGAGAAAGTTGAAAAGTCTGGCATCCTAAGTTTTGATCCAACCCTTCACCACCATCACCATTATCAACACCCCCACCTTTTGCCACAGCCATCCTTGATCAAACAAACACATGAAACTTAATATCTCAAAAAGAATCTTTATTCTGTAAAATGCCTTTGATCAGATTGTACTCTGTGATCACAACTGAAGAGCACAAGCAGATAAAGAAGCTGATTAGCAGATGGTAAATTCGGTTGGTGGTACAATAAATTCACAGTTTACAAGTAGCTGTCCAGTAATGCAGGTTTTTTCCACGGCAATGATTTCGCCAGCCATCCCTAGAGGACAAAATTAAGAAAAGAAAATACAGCTATGTGGAAATTAAAAAACAAAAGGCAGTGAGATGACAACAGAAGTAGACAACTATAAAGTAGCCCAGGGTCTTTCTTCCACAGTATATACACTTAGAGTGTTCCCTACCCATCTCTGAGTCAACAGAGAATATTCCACCATGAAATATGTTGCCCCCATTATGAATTCTTCTCCTGGTTGTGCTTCAAATCATTGCCTGCCTCCTGACTTTCCTTTGAAACAAAAGCCTACCCCACTCCCTCCCTCTCCCTCTCTGTCTGTCTGGGAACAAAATGAAGGCATGGTGATGAGGGCTCAGCAGAAAAAGATGTTGCAGGGGCATGTTTGAGCCAGAATTGGGTGCAAATGGGGAAATGCTCAAACTGTATTCGATCTGTGACTGGATGGGCTGGGTGAAGGAGAACGGCAAAGCTGACGAAAGATAAATCTAATTTCTTACCAGGCTTCCAAACCATCTGGACCTGCTACAGCTCTCTTGACACAAATTATATCATCGATGATTTCATCAGTCAGCAAATCTAGTGAGTAAACAGGAAATAATTGTGGCGTGAATGGGACATATTTGAATAAACAGATCTAACAACTCTTCATATTGAGCTAGTCAACCTTTGCTTTTTAGGAGACTAGAATCCAAAGCTTCCCCAGTAAGGGAGATGCTCTTTAATTGGGAGATGCTCAGGATTGAAGGTGGGACTTTTAGCATGGTAATAAAAAATTAAAATGCATGCCTTCTTTAATTGGATGACAATTACAGTAGAAATGCAGCATTTGTCAGGACAAGTAAAATATCCTGTTCTATAAAATACCTTCTTATGGATTTAAGAAACAGTAAACCTTGAAGCTCAACCATATATATTTAAATGCTAAGGAACATGGATAAGGCTGGAAAAAACATCTGTTTCAGACTTGCAAGTTTCTCTTACCGTAACTTACAGTGAAGGTGGTGTTAGTATTCATGACTGATACTTCCTGTCTGGACTATCTCAAAAGGCTGACTTGCAAATCTCAAAGTACATTTCCCTCTGCTGATGAGGAGTGGCCATGATTGGCAACACTAATGGGTTACCTGTGAGGTAGGCCAAATATAAACCTTCTCCACAAAAATAGTAAAAAGGAAGGATAGGGCCACATTAACCCCTTGCAGTAGGAAACCAGAGATGGATTCATACATGTCAGAACCAATAGCACCCAGCTGGCAAAACGAATCTCTTTCCCAGTTTAAATGGACTTTTTGGTAACACAGGACTACAACCCAGTACTGTTTTTAAAATACAGCTTTAGCATTAAAAAAAATACCCTAGCATTCTAAAGAGTGCACTAAATCCATGAATGTGGGATATTTGGTGTGTGTGTATAAGGAATCTAAGCAACTGCATGTCTGTCATTGATTCATTGGTCCCGTTTATGGGCTCACTACTTCAACCTAAGAATGGAGATTTTTTCCAATTTTATGATTCCAATTACTCTACAATTTAAATGTTCATTTGCATATTTCTAAACTTTATAATCAAGGTCATTAATATATGGGTGTTGGCGGGGAGGTAGATGTGTGAACAAAGATGTTTTATTTTGAAAGTGGTACAAAATACATAGACTGAGAGTAATATGCATGGGAAATAACATGCAACATTTGTGAAAAGTAAATATGTTCAATGAATAGCTGTGGAGTGCTTTGGTGCTCTCTGAGCTTGGTTGTTTCCTTATAGATATTTCATTATCTGACTAGATAACATCATCAATGTTAGTGAATATGGAGTTTGTGTTCTGTTTATACATAGTACCCTGCATGTCAATGTTGTTGGCTAATAGAGAGAATGTGTTCTGGTCTTTTTGTTTCTCTCTTAGCTTTTTTTATAGGGGGCCATGGTGAGCTGATGGTTAGAATGCAGTATAATAGGCTAACTCTGCCCACAACCAAGAGTTCAATCCTGACAGAGCTGAAGGTTGACTCAGCCTTTCATCCGAGGTTGGTAAAATGAGGGGCCAGATTGTTGGGTGTAATATGCTGACTGCCAAGACAGTGCTGTAAAGCACTATGGAGTGGTATATAAGTCTAAGTGCTATTGCTATTGTCTTTTCTGAATGGTGAATAGCCATGGTTTATCTCTCTGTGTCTGTTGATGGCTGATTTATCTCAATGCCAAGCTTCCAGGAAATCCCTAGCATTTTTAGATTTAGCTTGGCGTAGGATCTCATGGTTTTCCAGTTGAAAGAATGGTTGAATCTGTCCATGTCTTATGAAACTAAGGAGTTTTCATCATGTCTTCTGCCTGCTAGTTTGTGTTCATGGATGTTCTCTGCTAGTCTTCTGCCTGTCTGTCATACAGCATATATAGTGGCTGTCCCAGTCCTTACACTGTATGTTGTAGATGACTCCTGTTTTTTTCTTCTCAGGCTACTGGGTCTTTTGTCAGGTACAGTAATTAAACATCTGCAAGAAAACAACCAAGCTCAGAGAGCACCAAGGACTCCACAGTTCAATCTTGACCTACCTATATTCTCTTTAATGAAAAGCTTTGACAACCAAAATGAGAAATTAAAAGAAACCCAGACCCAGACCCAATATTCTATCTTTATAAACTGGACTTTAACATGAATATTTTCAAAGGAACACTTACCACGACAAGATAAGCTACAGAGGTTCCTTGAAGTGCTGTGTTGATCAGCACACCAGGAGCGACTGTTGATCTGGAAAATGCCATATTCAGTAGAACCATCAATGTTCTGGGTCACCTTACCTGTGTTGAAACCACTCGCAAAGTATGCCAAGCAGACCCCTGAAGGGAGAAAGTGATGTACAGATTGACATCTGCATAGAAGTTTTCAGAAAAGAAGCAGATAAGAAATAAGATCGTGCTAGAAATAAGACCGTTCTTTTACAGGCAGATTTTTTTAGCATTACATGATGAATCCAGTTTGCCTAAGACTTGAATGACAATGGCACACAGGGTAGCTGGTGGCATCTGTGTGAAGATATGTGTTGTGGTTCGCCGGCAGCAGGTGTGGACAGCTGAGGTCTCGGAGAATGAGGACTCAGATGAGGGGCCTGCGTGTGATGCAGGGATGGGGCCAGGACCATCAGGGAGTGGCACGATGCCTTCGGAGATTGTGGAGGATGGCATCAATGATGAAGAGGTCCCCGAGGAGCCTGTGCCCAGTGCAGGTACATGCAGGGCGGCTCGAAGAAAAGAGCAGCTGCTGCAGCAGGGGCGACTCAGAAGTAAGGCTGCAAGGTAATGACCCCTCCCTTAAGAGAGCTGAGAAATTTAGAAATATTAATGGGGAAACAAACAATCTGGTGCATAAGCAGGCTTCAAGATCAACAACAGAAGACAAAAAACATGAATGTAGAAGGTCAAACAGAACTGATGAATAAAACAGGTTTTTAAGATTGAGAAGAAAATAAAATATCTGGGTATCAATTGGACAAATATGAACGGTATATTATTTCAAAAGAACTATGTTAAGACATGGAATAAAAACCTTGCAGAGAGAGAACCTGTGTAAGAAAATGAACTAGTGGAAAAATGATGTTTGCAGGACAGGATATCAAATATTTGCAGATATGTGAACATTTATACTCATAAATGTTTGGAGCCTTATTCTTAAGCATTATGTTGCTCAAACATGTGAAATGAAAGTTTTTGGCTGAACCGGGATAACAAGTAACATCTAAATACCCTGGAAACTTAACTTCATTAAAGATACATTTTTCCCAAAGAAGATCGTAAAAAGCGGCGGACAAAACTTAAAAGGGAAAGTTTGTTTTTTCTCACTCTCCTTCCCTACGGAGATAGCAGGTGGAAATCGGAAAAACCCGTTTTGGCACCAGCAGGTAATTAAATTTGAAAATTAAAGCCAAGGGGACATTAAAGATTTCTGAACATTGGAATTAAAATATATATATATATTTGCTATAAGAGGGAAGGGAGAGGAAAAGAATTAATATTAAGATTTTGCTGGAGGAGGTTGCTTGGAACTTATAAGATCAGAGTTAAATTGTAACAAGACTTCTAAAAGATATACTTTGGAACTTTGCAATTGAACTGTACCTCAGGAAGAGAAAGTATAAAAAGAAGAAAGTGCTAAATGAAACTGTTTGTGTCTATTTGGATTGCTTGGTGACTTTGGGACCTTTGGAAATTATTATTTGAAAGATTAAAAACATTTGGGTTGTTGAAAAATTTTTCACAATGGCATTACTTGTTGATGAACTGAAAATGGAATTTAAAAAGCTAAAAGAAGAGGAACAAGAACAGAAGGCCTCTTCTGGATCTGTTTTTCATTTCTTAGAAATGGCGATTTCTACCTACCAGAAATTACAAGAACAAGAAGGTTGGGATGAAGAAGAAGAAGCCATCTTTAATGAACAAACAACTTTAGCTGGGGAAGAAAAGGGAAAGAGGGGAAAGAGAATGGAGAATTTAAGACTTAAAAAAACAACCAAAAAAGGGAAAAATAAGGTGAAAAATCGATATAATGTCAGAAAGCAACAGATAAGAGGAATACAGAAGAAAGTGCAGATTAAGAGGGTGGAGATCAAGAGACAGGGGGTAAAAAGACTAGACTGGAGAAGAAAGGAAGGGGAAAAGGGAAGAGAAGTTACAAAGGTTTGAAACAAGATGTAAAACAACAGGATTTAATCAGAGATAATGGGTAAAAATATAATTTAAAAAAGATTCTGCAAAAGTACATAAGATTGTATTGTTGTATTTGTATTTGAAATAATGTTAGAAAACTGGAACACTATATGATTATAAAATGGGATAAAATATTAAAAGGAATATGTAAAATGTTTAAGATTTAATGATAGAGTTTAATTTGCTATGGATTATTGTTTTAATTATATTATAAACTTATTATTTTCCTATTTTAAAATATAGTACGTAGCTTTGGAATGTACTAAGCAGAATCAGAATGAAAATTTTATATTATTTTAAGTGTTAAATTTAGGGGAAAGATATAAAGGCGTCATACTTCAATCAGTGATTACAGGAGAAATTTTGTGTTAATGAGAAAAGATAATTGATAATTGAAATAGAACAGACAAAAGATACAAGTATAATTATTTAAATTGAGATGAAATAAATAAAATAGAATTAAGAGAGTGAAAAGAGGGGAGAAGCTATATTGAAAATGTAGAATGGTAAACAAGATATGAAATGGTATATAAAGTGAGCATGAATTTGATTTATGTCTGTACAAAAAGATGTATCCCAGGATTAAGCCGCTTTCCAAAAAGAAAGCGTTTTGTTTGTGTATATTTGTTTATTGAAAATTAATAATTTTTTTATAATAAAAATAGAATAGAATAGAATAGAATAGAATTGAATTGAATTCTTTATTGGCCAAGTGTGATTGGACACACAAGGAATTTGTCTTGGTGCAAATGCTCTCAGTGTACATAAAAGAAAAGATACATTTGTCAAGAGTCAAGAACTATAAGGTACAACACTTAATGATAGTCACAGGGTACAATAAGCAATCAAATCATACTAGGAAACAGTCAATATAAATTGTAAGGATACAAGCAACAAAGTTACAGTCATACAATCACAAGTGGGAGGGGAAATAAGGAGTGATGAGAAGATTAACAGTAATACCGTGTTTCTCACAAAATAAGGCCGGGCCTTATTTTTTTTTTTTGACCCCTGAAAAAACGGGTAGGCCATCTTTTCGGGGGTGACTTAATTTCCTCCCCCACCTAGAGTGGTCCATACACACGTACCTCGCCACGAGGCCGCTTCTATCAGCCGACGAAAGCTCCCCGAAGGCAGAGTCCCCAGCTGCTTCAGGGCGTGGCGTGGCTGCCCATGTCCCCTTGCCTTTAGGCAGTCTCTTTCAGGCAATGGAAGCTCCCCAAATGCAGTCACCAGCCACTTTGATCAGCTGGTAGAAGCGGCCTTGGGGTGAGCACGCACACACACACACTCCCCTCGCCCCGAGGCCGCTTCTATCAGCAGACAAAAGCTCCCTTGCAGGCAGAGTCCCCAGCCGCTTCGGGGCGAGGTGTGACACACACACACTCCCCTCGCTGCAAGGCCACTTCTACCAGCTGATTGAAGTAGCTGGTGACTGCATTTGGGGAGCTTCCATCGTCCGAAAGAGACTGCCCTAAAGGCGAGGGGACACGGGCAGCCACGCCTCACCCCAAAGCGGCTGGGGACTCTGCCTTCAAGGGAGCTTTGGTCTGCTGATAGAAGTGGCCTCGTGGCAAGGGGAGTGTGTGCGTGCGCTCGCCCCGAGGCCACTTCTACCGGCCGATCGAAGTGGCTAGTGACTGCATTTGGGGAGCTTCCATTGCCCGAAAGAGACTGCCTAAAGGCAAGGGGACATGGGCAGCCACGCCTTGCC